TCCTAAGGTACTCTTTATTTCCATTATTGTATTCTTTATTTGTTTCTTTTTTATGTTTTCTATCTCCATTTTTGTTTCCTATCTCTTTGTTGAAGTTTTCACTGAGATCATTGAGCATCCTCATAACCAGTGTTTTGAATTTTGCATCTGATAGATTGCTTGTCTCCATTTTGTTTAGTTCTTTTTCTGGAGTTTTATTCTATTCTTCCATTTGGGACATTTTTCTTTGTCTCCTCATTTTGGCTCCCTCCATGTTTTTGTTTCTTTGTATTAAAGCTGCTAGTCTCCAGGTCTTCGTAGAGTGGCCTTATGTAGTAGTTGTCCCGTGGGGCTCAGTGGCACAGTCTCTCTAGTCACCTGAGCCAGATGCTCCTAGTGTGTTGTCCTTTGTATGGGTCATGTGTGCCTTCCTGTTGCAGTTGAGCCCTGGTTGCTATGTGCACATCAATGGGAGTGTTTGATCTTCAAGCTGATTGGTTGTGAGGACTGGTCTCACTACAGGGAGAAGCTATTGTGGAGGGGTTGACTCTATGGTGCAAGATTAGCTTTAATGGGGCTCTGGTGCCTGCCCATTCTGCCCTTCAGGTGTCTCTTTTGTGGAAATGGTTGGGTGGTGCTCTGGTGTGATATAAAGTGGGCCTCCAGGCGTGTTGATTCTGGGGCTTCTTGGGAGGGGCTCTGTTTCAGGCCAAGGTCATCTACGCCTATGCCCTGCCTGGGGCCACTTGGTGTGAGCCACAAAGTGATCTACAGAGGACTGCCTCTTGTGCTGGGCCTCTTGTGCTAGAGTTGCCTGGGAGAGGCCAAGCTGTGAATTGAGGCTGGCTGCTGCTATTGCCGGATTTGGGGCTGCTCAGCAAGAGGTATGGGGAACACCGAGCCCAGGTGCTACTTGTCCGGCATGTGTGAACCTTTGAGTTGTTTTAGGAAAGTGTACAACATGAGCCAAGATAGGCTGTTTGTACGGAAAAGCCACCGGAAGCAGCTGGGTGGGCCTAAAAGTTAGGTGGGCTGGGTCTCAGGAAATCACTGGGCGGGGAGTAAACAGTGTTAGTCAGGTTGATAGAGACCCAGATATAGTGCCTGCCTGAGTATGCACACTGGGTGCAATATGCTTCCCTCTTTTTAACCACCCCAGGTGGGTATGGGATCAGCTTGTTACACTTCACCCCTCTCATGAAGTCTGGAGGTGGCTTCTTCTGTATGTCCTTATAGGACTTCTGTTCAACTAGACTTCAGGGGATTTTCAATGATGGTTGTTTTATTGTTTAATTGTAATTTTGATGTGGTCATGAGAGGAGGCAAGCACAGCATTTACCTACTCTGCCATGTTGACCGATCCAGTGATGGTTTAAACAAAGAATGAAAGTGAGAAATACAAAGCTTTCTTTAGAAGTTATTTCTATGTGAACCTTTTGGAATTGTAAAAATAGTTCACTGAGAGCATATCCTACTCAGACAGCTATGTGTATGTAATTTTAAAAATATACTATTGATGGAGAAATCAAATATGTGTATCATGTAATCTACAATATAACATTTAAGATTCAAATGAAGGCATTGTGGGTATTTTAAAAAGAGAACATAAGAAATGTTTCCACTCTTTACATGTGAGGAATGTAGTGAGAAGAAAGAAAGGTTACCATAATCAGGCTCAGGCTCCCTCCCACACCCGTAGCTAACTTCCTGGTGGAAGAAAACTCCGCACTTCTCCCCTATGTAACCATGTGCCCTGTACACATGTGCGGGCTTCTAACTTGGCAGTGTGCCACTACTGTTTAACTGGTGTATAAAAGGCGCTGCCACCATGCAAGGGGTGGTGTGCCCTTGCTTGAGAACTGCCGCCCTGTGAGGCAGGCTGTGCCCCTGCTGGAATAAAGAGCTATGTAGCAATTGCCTACTGTTCTCTGCATTTTCTTCCAACTGCTCGAGTCTCATACGCCTTATTTTGGAACCGCAAATCTGCGGCATAGTCCAAACCCAATGATTAATGTAAAAGGAAAATATATTATAAAACCACAAATACCAAAAGTCTTAAAAATATTAGTTTGATTCAAAGTTATCTCCAAAACAACAGGGAAAAATAAATCTCTAAAAGTCTGACATTTCAATCTTGGTCTATGCTCTAGGATTTTATTCTAAGTCTTTAATTACATTGTAAATCATTTCATTAAAATTTAAATTTGATGTAAAAACTCTATTCTCCTTAGAAGATAAATATATTTGTACATTTTCTCTATTCTAAGTTCCCCCCTTTTCCATTAATAAGATGCGTTAATAATCTTACTTCTCTCAGCAACTTTGTTTAACCCCAATGGTTTACTGCAACCTAGTAAATTAAGAGAACATAAGAGGGAAATCAAATAGGGTTGCTTAGTTTAACATTCATAAATAATGACTCTAAGTGAAAAGAAATCAATTTGTGTGTTTGAATGAGGACACCTACATAGCTTCTTATGATTATCCAAGTTATACAGACAAATGAAACCTTTCATTCTAAAAATTCCAGTGAATACAACTGTCAAAGTCTCCACAGTGATTGTTTTTTAAAATATTTTTTATTTTTCAATTATACTTATCATACAATATTATATTCGTTTCATGTGTACAACAGTGATTAGACATTTATATAACTTACGGAGTGATCACCCTGATGAATCTAGTACCCACCTGACACCGTACATAGTTATTACAATATTATTGACTATATTCCTTATGCTATAATTTACATCTCCATGACTATTGTGTAACCACCAATTTGTACTTCTTAATCCCTTCTCTCCTTTTCACTCACTCCCTGAACCCTCCCTCACCTAATAACCCTCAAAATGTTTTCTGTACCTGAGTTTGTTACTGTTTTACTTGTTTATTTTGTTCTTTAGAATCCACATTAATTGAAATCATATGGCATTTGTCTTTTTCTATCTGACTTCAGTTAGCACAATACCCTCTAGGTCCATCCATGTTATTGCAAATGTAAAGATTTCATTCATTTATTAGTTCATTCATTATTTATTTATTTATTTATTTATTATTTATTTATCGTATATATGTACTACCACTTCTTTATCCATTCATCCATTGATGGACACCCAGGTTGCCTCTACATCTTGGATATTGTAAATAATGCTGCAATGAACATATGGATGCACACGTCCCTTCAAAGGAGTATTTTGGGCTTCTTCAGATAAATATCCAGATTTGGGATTACTCAGACCTTGTCTCTTGTTATAACCTTTTTCAAAAAACTCTGTTTTGTCTGGGATAAGTATTGTTACCCCAGCTTTTTTTTTTTCATATTCATTTTCATGAAATATATTTTTCCATCCCTTTACTTTCAGTCTGTGTGTCTTTTGATCTGAAGTAAGTTTCTTGTAGGCAGCATATGTAGGAGTCCTGTTTTCTTACCCATTCAGGCACGCTATCTTTTGATTGGAACATTTCTTTTTCATCTGAAGTACTTGTCGGTAGATAAGTAGTTATTGCCATTTTATTATTCATATTTTTCATACATATTTTTTCTTCTTCTTAAAGAAGTCCCTCCAACATTTCTTGTCATACTGGTTTGGTGGTGATGAACTCCTTTAGCTTTTTCTTGTTTGGGAAGCTCTTCATCTGTACTTCAGTTCTAAGTGATAGCTTTGCTGGGTAGAGTAATCTTGCATCGTGGGTCCTTGTTTTTCATCACTTTGAATATTTTAGGCCAACTTCTTCTGGCCTGCAAAGTTTCTGTTGAGAAATCAGCTGACAGTCTTATGGATGCTCCTCTGTAGGTAACTGACTAGTTTTCTCTTGCTGCTTTTAAGATTCTTTTTCTTTAACCTTTGGCATTTTAATTATGATGTGTCTTGGTGTGGGCCTCTTCGGGGTCATCTTGTTCGTGACTCTTTGACCTTCCTGGGGTTGTATGTCTATTTCCTTCGTTAGGTTAGGAAGGTTTTCCATCATTATTTCTTCAAATAGGTTTTCAATTTCCTGTTCTCTTTCTTCTTTTTCTGGTACCCTTATGATGCCAATGTTGTTATGCTTGATATTGTCCCAGAGGCCCCTTAAACTATCCTGTTTTTTGGGTTCTCTTTCTTTGTTGCTGTTCTGATTGGGTGTCCTCCACTATCCCATTCTCTAAATTGCTGATTCAATCCTCCGCTTCATCCAATATGTTTATTCTCTCTAATGTACTCTTCATCTCACATATTATAGTCTTCATTTCTGACTGGTTCTTTTTTATGTTTTCTATTTCCATTTTTATGTTTTCTATCTCTTTGTTAAAATTCTCACTGAGTTCATTTACTCTTCCCCTAAGTTCATTGAGCATCCTTATAACTAGTGTTTTGAACTCTGCCTCTAGTAGATTGCTTGTGTCCATCTTGTTTAGTTCTTTTTCTGAAGCTTTGTTCTGTTCTTTCATGTGGGATGTGTTTCTTTATCTCCCCATTTTGGCTGCCTCTCTTGTGTTTTTTTATATTAGGTAGTGCTCCTAAGTCTGCTGGTCTTAGTAGAGTGGCTTTATATAGTAGGTGTCTTATAGGGTCCAGTGGCACAGTCTTCCCTGGTCCCTTGAGCCAGGCATTCAAGCTGTGTCTCTTTGTGCCTTCTGTTGTGTTGAGCGTTGCCTGCTGTTTGCACATTGATGAGCAGGACTGACCCTTGGGCTGATTGGTTATGAGGACTGGCCAGTGAGGGGCTGACCTTACCGAGCAAGATTCACTTTAGCAGGGTTCTGGTACATGCCCAATCTACACTTCAGGTGTTTTCCTCAGATGCAGCCCTGGGTGGTGCTTTGGCTCTGGTGCTTGTTGAGGCAGGCCACCAGGTATGCCAGCCTAAGAGACTCCTGGGGGGACTCCAGCTGCAGGCCAAGTTTAGCCACAACACGTCCACTTCCAGGGCCACCTGGTAAGAGTCACCAAGGAATCCGCAGATGGCTGCCACCCATGCTGGGCTCATAGGTGCCTTGAGAGGCCAAGCCAGGAACTGAGGGTGACTGCTGCTAGTGCCAGGTGTGGGACTGCTCAGCAAGAGGTATAGGGCACACCGAGACCAGATGCTGCTTCTTTGTGTTTTATGAGCCTCTGAGAGATTTTAGGAAAGTCTGCAGCATGAGCCAAAACAGGCCAAAAACCACTAAAAGAAGCTTGATTGGGCCTGCAAGCTGGGAGAGGTGGGGTCTCAGGAGTTACCTGGGCAGAGCGACCTGTGCTATCCAGGTTGATGGAGACTCTGATATGGTGATCACCTGTGTCTGCATACTGGGAGGCAGGAGGGCTCAATAAAGGGGGCCCTTAAGAGGAATGTCTTTGACTCTCACAGCCTCTGTCTCACTCAGCCACAATCTCCACTGGTTTTCACAGCCAGAGATTGTGGGGACTTCTCTTTCCAGTGCTAGAACCCTAGGATGGGGAGTCCAGTGTGAAACAGGGAACCCTCATTCCTCTTGGGGGGGCCTCTGCAGCCAAGATAACCCTCCTGATTCTCATCTGCCCCATGCAGTTATGAGACTATCCTGTTTCCCATCTCCATCCCTCCTACTAGTCTCGAGGTGACCTCTTATGTGTGTCCCCAGTTGTAGGACTTCTGTTTATCCAGACCTCAGGTGACTCCCAGTGACGGCTGTTCTGTAGTTTCATTGTAATTTTGATGTGGTTGTGAGAGGAGTCAAGCACAGCATCTACCTTCTACACCATCTTGACCGGATCCTCACAGTGAACTATTTTAAATTTAATCCTGGCCACCAGTCTAGTTTAGGAAATAGGATATACCTAGGGTAGGGAAGTCCCCATAACGGTTGATGGTTTGCAACAGAATTTCAACTTCAAATCCCACAGAAATTTTTCTTACAGTCACAATATATAATGCAACTCTGCACAGATCAGTCTTGTTACAATGATATTAAAAAGTAGGTAAAAATATTTTTAGTAATGAAATGCAATTCTGATGACACACTCAGGTGGACACATTTTTTAAAAAAAGATAACATGCAAGACAGAGTACAAACAAAAGCTGCACAAAAGTATGTCAAGAGTGAGAAGCACCAATATGCTTAAGAAACGTTTAATTTACTATCTGTTCCTCGTGTGAAGAAATTTGTACACACAGGTGCCAACTAGTACAATGCCAACAACTACAAGAAATCAGGAAACAAATGACATGTAACTATGAAAAATAATTTCCAAGATTCAAAATCTAGCAGAAGAAATTAGTGTTCGTTACATTTCAGTATTCAGAAAATGTTATTTAATTTAAGCACATATACATTTATATTCCATCTGGACTATTCACTGTCTAAATGTAATTCCCTGGAGTCACTTAAACAGTCCACAGTAAGTCAAAGAAGAGTCCTAATGGCTTAATTTAGAATATTACCCAAAACATATTTTGGATGCAAACTTATATGCTTAATCACCTCAAAAACATACATTATTTAGGATTTGTTACTAAGTGGACATATAGAATATAAAAAATATAAAACTACCAATACAAGGTGGTATATCATGTAAAAGTTCAGGCATTTCTGGACTGGTTTACTTAATTTCAAGCTATATAAACTGTAGAAACTGAAAAATCATTAAATAATGTGTTCCTTCACATTAATATTCTTATTTCAGTGTTATCCAAGTTTGAGATACTTACGTACAGTAAGAACAATCACAGCAATGAGTCCGTCATCTGAGAAAAAATAAAACCAGTATGAAGATAATGAGTACATGTGAGTCTCTAGATAGCATGTGCATTTTAATTTTTATCACCTCATCTATAAACTACAGCAAAGAAAATGCTTATCAATCTAGTTTAGCATTGACTGCTAGTGCATCCAGGTCATTTTGATCACAGAACCCTTCTAATCAAATTCCAGGCCTAGGGTTCAACTTGTGATACTCTTAATAGAAACCTCACTTATCATTGTTTTGTACTGTAGTTACCACCCCAGGTTGTTTAGTAAAAATTATTTAAAAAATTAGAATTCACTAGATTAGAGGAAAATCATTTTAAGAATGTATTATCCCATTATTCCAACTATAATACATTAGTTCAGTGTTCAGTCTATCATTCTTATGATTTTGTTTGGGATTTAATTTAAATTGTCTCTTAAAAATGAGTCTGTAGAATAAGTCATAAATAAAGTTCTATTAATTGATTACATAGATGCATTTTGCAGAGTCTTCACAAACAATACATTATTTTCATCAACCCTGTCTCATGCACCCCATCCCTAAATTAAAAAATAATCTTAATTACCAAGGAGATTCTAAGAATGCAAATAAAACATCAGGGCTCATGTATAAAAATTATTCATAGATACTTAAACATGCACTTTTGACTATCCAGAGAGCAATAAATAACACTACAAAATCTTAATTCTTAGTTGGTCAGTAGTACCTCTGCTTCTAAACTGCCATTATTTTTACTGAATTTCTATAAGCCAATACACAGAATATCAAGTTTGCTTGTGCATTTTTCGTTTCATAAAAATTTATCAAGTGTTTAACGTCTTAAGATGGCACTGAATTTCTGGCACAAAGACAGTTTGACCACAGTGTTCAGGGGGAGAACATAACAAGTCTAAGGCACATTTAATAAAAAGATTAACATTACTGAACTAGTGTAATGTAAATAAAATACATATTTTTCTTCATTTACACATCAAGCAATCTTTATATTTCATTTAACTGTTACAAGTATACTTTATCATTTTCTTTAACATATGTTGCATGAAACTGGTGAGTCTACATAAAGTTTGCTATAACACCCTTTTCTAGAAAAAAACTAGCCCACCAAATAGAACTTTAAATCTTGTATATACAAGGTACAAATAGAAAGAAAATTAATTTACAAACTGACATCACAAAATAACACTATTACTCTAAGGTCTCATAAAGCAGGATTAATAATAACCAAAATAATACCTAAATCATCAGTGTTACCGGGGTGATGTCCTAGAAAAAAATGAGAATAAGTAAAAAAAAAACAATAATTAAGCTTAGAAATCTCTAAATTCATAGGTTTAATTTTTTGCCTTGTACAAAACTTCTTGTTTTTTTTCCTTACATAAATTATATTAATTATTCTCATTAAAAGTAGTATCATAAACTACCAGATATTTATATTTAATGTCATGATCATTCTTCTTTCTGGTAATATTTCCTCTGAGTATTCTGTGGTACAGCTTGCAAATTTATCATTAGTGTATTGTCAATATTAGCCTATGCATTCAATGTGATTCTACTTAAAATTAAAAAATACAGGAGGGCTCAATAAGTGATTTAGAGGTTAATCTGCAATAGAAAGAAGTTTCAATATAATAAAGGCCAAGTATGAAAAATCCATAGTTAACATTATACTCAATGCTGAAAGAATGAAAGTTTTCCCTTAAGATCAGGAAGAAAACAGGATGCCCATGTTTAACATTTCTATTCAACATAATATTGAAAGTTCTAATCAGAGCAATTAGGCAAAACAAACAAACAAAAAACACAAAAAACCCAGGATTCTAATTGGGAAAGAAGCAATTAAATTATCTCTGTTCCAGATGACATGATCTTTTAAGTAGAAAACTCTAAAGATCACACACACACACACACACACACACACACACACACACTCACTCACTCACTCACTCACTCACTTGTTGGAACTAATAAATAAATTCAGCAAAGTTTCAGGCTACAAAGTCAGCAAGCAATAAATCAGTTATATTTCTATACATTAACAATGAACAACCCAAAAAGGAAAATTGAGAAAACAATTCTATTTACGACAGCATCAAAAAGATTAAAATACTTAGAAATAAATGTAACCAAGGAGGTGAAAGACTCCTACACTGGAAACTACAAAAACTGCTGAAAGAAATTCAATAAGTAAATGGAAAGACAGTCTCTGTTCATGATTAGAAGACAGTATTGCCAAGATGTTAATATTACACAAAGCAATCTACAGATTAAATGCAACTACCATCACCATCGTGAATATGCATTTTGCAGAAAGAAGAAAATCCAACCTATAATTCATATGAAATCTAAGAAATTAGGGAAAGCCAAGACAATCTTGAAATGGAAGAGAAAGTTGAAAGGACTCATGTTTCCTGGTTTCAGAACTAACTTTAAAGCTACAATAATCAAAACAGAGTGGTACTGGCATAGAGACAGACCAATAAAATACAGTACAGAACCCAGAAATAAACCTTTTCATATATGTTCAAATGATTGTCTACAAGGGTGCTAAGAACATTTAATTAGGAAAAGGCCACCTTTTCAAGAAATGGTTTATGAAAAACTGGATATTGACATAAAAAATAAAGTTCGACTTTTATTTTACATCATACACAAAAATTAATTTGAAATGAATCAAAGAACCAAATAAAGAGCTAAAACTATAAATTTAGAAGAAAACATAGGAGAGAAGCTTTATGATGTTGCATCTCACAATAATTTCTTGGATGTAATACAAAAAGTACAGGCAACGAAAGAAAAAAATAGATAATTTGGACTTCATCAAAATTAAAAACTTTTGTCTATCAGTAAACAGTATCAATAGAGGAGAAAGGCAATTCACAGAATGGAAGAAAACATCTGGAAATAATACATCTGATAAAAGACTAATATTCAAAATGCATAATAAACTCTAAGTTTCAATAACAGAAAAAAGCCCAAATCAAAAATGTGCAAAGGACTTGAATAGACATTTCTCCAAAGAAGACATGAAAAACACCAACAAGCAAATGAAAATATGATCACTAATCATTAGACAATGATAACAACACCCACAATGAGATACTAGTTCGTATACATTAGGATGGCTAGTAACAAAAAACCGGAAAATAACAAGTGTGGGAGGAGGTGAAGAAATTGGAACATTTGTACATGGCTGGTGGGAATGTAAAATGGTACAGGCACTGTGGAAGAGAGTATGGCTATTCTTCAAAAAGGTAAACAGAATTACCACATAACCCAGCAATTCTATTCCTAGGTATATATTCCCCAAAATTGAAAACAAGGTTTCAAACAGTTACTCAAATGCCAGTATTCAGAGAAGCATATTCAGAACAGCCAAAAGTTGGAAACCACCCAAGTGTCTATCAACATTAATGGATAAAGGAATTGTGGCATATATAAACAATGGAATACGGCCATAAAAAGGAATAAAGTTCTGATACATGCCACAAGGTGAATGACCCTTGAAGATATGCTGAGTGAAATAAGCCAGGAGTTACTCTACTTCTATGAGGTACCTAAAACAGTCAAATTCATAGACAGAAAATCAAATAACACTTACCACGGCTGGGGGAGAGGGAATAGAGAGTTATTATTTAAGGGGTAGACTAGTTCAGTTTGAGATGAAAAATTTTGGAGATATAGTACTGATGGCTGCACAACAACATGAATGTCCTTAATACCACTGAACAGTACATTTAAAATAAAATGGTAAAAACGGTACACTTACATTAAAATAGTAAAAAAATAAAATAAAACTTGATCTACAGGTGCTTCTGGTTATGAGGCAGAGTAGATAAACACTGCGCCTGCCTCCTCTCATGACCACATCAAGATGCTAACTGAACTACAAAACAATCATTGTTGAGAATCTCCTGAAATCTCGCTGAAGAGAAGTCCTATAACTGGGAACACACAGAAGAGGCCACCTTAGGTCTGATGTGAAAATCTAAATAAGTAAGTAAGCAAGCAAATAAATAAAGATGTAAGTACATATAAAAAAGTTAATTTATAAAAATTAGCAGAAAGAGTGGCCTGAAAATTTCTGAAAAAAGTGTTTTGGCAAATATTATATCATACTATAGTACTACATTAAAAAAATGATTTGGTGCTAGCAGTGGCATGGATAGAGTTCAGGGGAACAGAAAGATGACTCAAATACCTATGAATTTAATGTATGATAAAAACTGGAACTTCAAAACTGTTGGAGAAAAGATTATAAGAAAAAAGTAAAAAAATGCTAAAATATGTATATCTACGCATATAAGGATACTGATGTACAGAAACAGATAAAAAAAGACACCTAAACTATTAAGTGATTAATTCAGGTAATGTACTAGAGAAAGAGAAGGAGACTAATCTTTAACTCTGTATACTCTCCTAATGATAGAAGTTTTACAGTTTTATACGCATTTACTACTTATGTAATTAAAAGTTATAAAAAGCAATCTATATCCAACAGTATAAAAATCTTGAGAAAACTGACTAGTAAAAATATGGCAAAGAAAAAAACAGAAAAAAAATGTTCACTTTATGTCAAAAGGGCCTTAATTTATGATCAGTTCTGACAAATCAATGAGAAAATATTTAAAGAACCAATAGAAAAATTGAGCAAAGGACATGAATAAATAAACGTAATCTGAGAGATGTTCAGCCTCACTGATAATTAAAGAAATGCATATTAATACATGACATCAGTTTTCACCCATCACCTTATGAAGTTCTTAACAATATGAGTAGGATAAAGAGTTACTGAACCTGGATAACTTGAAACTGGAGGTTTGGCTGAAACAGTAAGATTGGCACCTGGAAAAATAAATTTGATTACATTCATCAGCTTTATCAACACAAAATTTGAATTTTTATTTTTTAAAAAGATTATTTCTCAAAAAAAACCAAAAACAAAAACAAAAAACAAACAAAAAAACCACATACTTCCAAACTTTATAATTCTACTTCTGGAAATTTACCTAAACATGTAGTTACACAAGCACATAAGGATGTTTGCATAAGAATAGTCACTATAGATTTGTATTTTATAATGGAAATCCTAGAAGTTAACTAATCATAAATCATAAGTATGTTTCATAAATATGAAATAGGCATTCAATCATTTTACATAAACACATTCAAGGTTTATATAACTTGCCCAAGTTTACATACCTATTTATATCTGTAGACTGGCAAATAGTTTTACAATCACTAGGTTTAATAACTAAATAGGCTGTAAATATGTTTGTTCTCCTTTCATTACAAAACATGATGAATGAGTATATCACATTTTAAGGATTTTAAAAAAGTAACCAGGAATTTAAAGAATTTTGGAAAATATAAGTAGAAAGTTACTAAACCTGAGACACTGGAAATCGTAGGTTTTGTACTGAGAGGAGTTGACACTGGAAAAAAAATAATGTAAACAGGATCAACTACTTGGGAATTATATTTTTTTCGTTTATATAAATTATGCCTTTCAATCTCGACTTTTTAAGGTAAAAATTCCTATGCTTCGATTTACTCTAAAAAACAGTTGCTGTACATTTTTAGATGCAAAAATGCCAACACAAATATTTATATACCCGTGTGATGTACAAAACTGGATAAGACTATGAAAACATATCATACTACTACAGTAAAAATAAAATGATTTGCTGCTGGCACTGGCATGGACAGAGTTCAAGGGACTAAAAGACGACTTGAACACCTTAATGTATGATAAAAACTGGAACTTCAAAACTGTTGGAGAAAAGATAATTTATACAACAAATGGGGATGAGTGGAGTGGAAAAGAACCCTGTCTCATTCAATGTGCCATAGCGTATATATCAATTTCAGATGGAACAATGATTTAAATGCAAAGAATACAATCAGAACAGTTGGCTGAAAGATTTATATAATTTCATAATAGGGAACACTTACAGCTTTTATAATAAAGACACAACACTCATGGCCGTTGGAGAAAAAATGGATATAGGCGAGTCCCTATTAATATAAAACTTCTGCACATATATGTGACCACTGATAGGAGAATAGTTAAATAAATATGGTCTATATTAAAGTCATCATTAAAAAGAAAGTGAGGAGGGAGGAGGTAGAAAAGAGTAAAAGGTCAAATATATGATGACAGAAGTAGATTTGACTTTGGGTAGTGAACACACAATACAATATACAGACTATGTATGACTGAATTGTAGACTTAAAATCTATATATTTTATTTACCAATATGACCGCAATAAATTTAAATATGAAATAAAAGGATAAGAAAAACCTAAATATAATCCTAATTGAAGACAGTGAGTATAAACTGTGAGAGTTTTAGAAAAATATGAACAGCACGATCCCATTTCTGTTTAAGAAAAAAGTAAAAAATGCTAAAATATGTATATGTACGCATATAAGGATACTGATGTATAGAAAGAGATAAAAAGACACCTAAACTAATTAGTGATTAATTCAGGTAATGTACTAGAGAAAGAGAAGGAGACTAATCTTTAACTCTGTATACTCTCCTAATGATAGAAGTTTTACAGTTTTATACGCATTTACTACTTATGTAATTAAAAGTTATAAAAAGCAATCTATATCCAACAGTATAAAAATCTTGAGAAAACTGAATAGTAAAAATATGGCAAAGAAAAAAAAAAATGTTCACTTTATGTCAAAAGGGCCTTAATTTATGATCAGTTCTGACAAATCAATGAGAAAATATTTTAAAAAACCAACAGAAAAGTTGAGCAAAGGACATGAAAAAATAAACGTGGCCTGAGAAATGTTCAGCCTCACTGATAATTAAAGATATGTACATTAATACATGACATCAGTTTTCACCCATCACCTTATGAAGTTCTTAACAATATGAGTAGGATAAAGAGTTACTGAACCTGGATGACTTGAAACTGGAGGTTTGGCTGAAACAGTAGGATTGGCACCTGGAAAAATAAATTTGATTACATTCACCAGCTTTATCAATACAAAATTTGAATTTTTATTTTTTAAAAAGATTAATTATTTCTCAAAAAAAAAAAACAATAACAACAACACATAGTTCCAAACTTTATAATTCTACTTCTGTAAATTTACCTAAACATATAGTTAGTTACACAAGCACATAGGATGTTTGCATAAGAATAGTCACTATAGATTTGTATTTTATAATGGAAATCCTAGATGTTAACTAATCATAAATCATAAATATGTTGAAAATAAATTTTAAAAAATTACCACTCAAGTGGTATCATACCACACACTTCTTATCCTTTTGTTTTCTGATTAGTATTTCACAGACATTATCTCATGTTAGCACAATCACATCTACCTTATCATCATTATCTGTTGCTACTGATCTCTTTTGTACAGTCATTCTCTATCTGATGATAAAAATGACTGACAGTCCCCAAAAGAATTTTGATTGTTGATATCTAAGAAAAGATCCCTGCAGTTTATCTTCTTTGTCAATATTTCCTCACAATCAATTCTCTTTTCTTTGAGACGGTCAATTGTATCGGTATTTTATATATCCTTTATGAATCCCTATGATTAACTTTCAGAAGAGCATGCCGACATACACAGTATCCCACAGTGCACAGACCCACTAGGACCATGGGAGTAAACATAGATAGGCTGATGAGTATAAACTGCACACGCAATCTTAATATATCAGTCCACTACAAAACCATCGCTTTCCCCCCTCAAACCTCACAGCCATGAGCTAAGGTTCTAAAGGAGGCTATCAGGTACCAAGTGTACAGGAATTATAAAAAAGTGTTCTAATTACCGTGGTAACATGCAAAATTCCCCCCAATCTCTCAAATTCTAGGACAACAGGGAATATGCAAACTAATTAGAAGCCAGTAATTAAGATTTATTTGAGTTCAACAACCTCATGTTTAATAGGAAACTAAGCCTACAGAGATATTACTGAAGTAAGCAAAGCCAAACTAGGACCCTGAGTGAGGTCAGCCCAAGCTAATGCTCTTCCCATTACAGTAGTCCCCACTATCTATGTGGATACATTTCAAGACCCCCAGTCCATGCCTAGAAACCTGGATAGTACCGAGCCCTACATTTATTATGTTTTCTCCTATACATTTATATCCATAATGAAGTTTAATTTAAAATTAGGCACAATAAGAGATTAACAACAATAAGTATTAATTAATGGAACAATTATAACAATAAAAGTAATGTGAATGTGGTCTGTCCCTCTCAAAATACCTAACTGTACTATCCTTTCCCTTCTTGTGATGATGTGAAATGATACAGTGACTATGTGAGAAGAAGTGAGGGGACTACACTGGACAAAGGGATGATTCACATCACAGTTGGGACATAGTGAGGCAGCATGAGATTTCATCATGCTGCTCAGAATGGCGACATGAATTTTTATTTCTGGAATTTTCCATTTAATGTTTTAGGACAATGGTGGTTGCAGGTAATTGAAACCACAAAAAGTGAAACAGCGGTAAAGAGGGGATAACTATATTCCCCTCGTCCTTTGTTTCTGCCAAACAAAAGGGTGGCCAGAGATAGCGGCACTGAAATCAAGAAGACAACGCCTTCTTCCATATGAAAATAATCTCTCGAGTCCTAACTGGAGCAGTTAATCAGTTGTCCGTACAAGAAATCCTCCGTTTCATTTTAATAAATAAGGATTTTTCCTGCCTTTCAGTTTCTGTAAAATTTACTTTCTGTTGACAATTAAAAATGTCCAGTAAAGAGAAAAAGAATAATTGCATGAGGTGGGAGAAGTGGGGGTGGTAGAAATGCAGGTCTCGTTCTAGAGACAGCAGACATTTCCCAGTTTTAATGGTACTATATAGAAAGAACTAAACTGGTAACAGTCCAGGAAATAGAACATAGTCCTGGATCAGGAAGATACTCTGTAAAGGTGTCAGCCGATCGTTTTGAAAATAGTAAATTGGCAAGTTGATGGCACAGAAAACAAACATATCAAAAAACAGGAGCCATGGACCTTCTTCTTCATTAATATAAGTTGGAGTGATGCTATAAGTCATATGAGCTTCATTTAAGAGCTTCCTATATGCCAGGCATTGTGGTAAGTGCTTTAAATGTATCCCATTTACTTTCCTATCACCCAATGAGGAGGCATTAAATCATTTTATATGAACACATTCAAGGTTTATATAACTTGCCCAAGGTTACATACCTATTTATATCTGTAGACTGGCAAATAGTTTAATAATCACTAGGTTTAACAACTAAATAAGCTGCAAATATGTTTGTCCTCCTTTCATTACAAAACATGATGATGAGTATATCACATTTTAAGGATTAAAAAAAATAACCAGGAATTTAAAGAATTTTGAAAAATATAAGTAGAAAGTTACTAAACCTGAGACACTGGAAATCGTAGGTTTTGTACTGGGAGAGGTTGACACTAGAAAAAAAATAATGTAAATAGGATCAACCACTTGGGAATTATTATATTTTTTCATTTATATAAATTATGCCTTTCGATTTTGACTTTTTTTAAGGTAAAATTCCTATGCCTCAATTTACTCTGAAAAACAGTTACTGTACATTTTTACACATAAAAAAAGTCAAAGCTTAATGTATATCCATGTGATATACATGACATGCTAAGAACCTAAGAAAACATTTAAATTTGTGTCACACATCTGCCAAGGAAATGAATCCAAGACAGTTATTTACAAAAGCTTCTTCTTTTCAATTATTCTGCATCATTAGTATTTATAAAGAAATGAAATCGAAAAGATAAAGAAGGAAAAAGATACCCTTTGTACCTTTAACACACTGTGGTATCGCAGGCTTCCACATACTGTCAGCTCCACAGACAATTGTGTCGCTGCCGTTAAGCTGAAAACCCTGGACGCATTCAAATCTGACCGCCGCGTTATAGTAATATTTTCCTCCAAATCCTGACACCTGCCTTCCATTTTGGACTATTGGATATTGACATTTGACCACTGAAAAGTGGAGAAATTCCAGAATTAATAAAAATCTGCTTTGACATAAGACAGTAAAACTAGGGCAAAGTAGTAACTTCCATTGGGAACAAAGAGACAAGGAATAGATGGCAGAATGTTAAATTAAAAAAAACCAAAAACTTTATTTGTGCATTTTAATTCCAGGTAAATAGATTTAGAGAAATCTGATCACCTGTTTTCACCTAGAACAGACTGTCATTGCAGTTTATTGGTTTCTTATGTTTTTTTCCCCCATTACTGACTAGTTTTGAGAAAGGTCTGACTACCAGATACCAATTCTGGGAAATCTGAAAAGCAACTTTTGAACGTTTTAGTTCTAGGAATTTTTTTTTTTTAATTTCATGCTGACACTGATTACAGTTCCCTGCTTTTTAGAAAGACAGGAAAGGCTCTTGTGAGAAGAAGGTAATCTTTGAGCTCAAATGTAAAAGCTGAAAAGAAGCTAGCCATGCAGAGATATGCAAATAGAAAGTCCTCAGGTATCAACAACATGAATAAACTGGGCCATTCAAGAAATAGGTCAGTGCAGTTAGGGCTGTCTTTTCCAGACCTTTTGGATTATAACCCAGAGCTCCAACACTACATTACATTGTAAACCAGTATATCCCACAGGCCTGAGATAAAGTTAAAAGCTAATACTTCATACTAGTGTTCTCTGATATTTCTCATTCTACTCTACTAATTAGGAAGTAAAATGCTGGTCACAATCCCCTGGATTGATTTCAGGATCCAGTAATGGGTTTGGCAGAATTTGGAAAAATACAAAAAACACTTGGTTGGGCAGTGAGTTCAAGAGAACATTTTAGGAGATTAAATTTCAGCAACAGATAATGGTCCATAATGTACCGACTCTTAAAGCAGAACAGTGCTCTTCCTCATTGCCGGTGGATCTGGATTTCCATCAGGTGTACTTTTCCCTTCACCATGAAGAACTTTCTTTAGCAATTCTTCTAGTGCAAGCTGGGTAGTAACAATTCTCTCAGATTTTTTTTTAATCTCAAAATGTTTTTTTCCCCCCTTGTATTTCACCTTCAGTTTTAAGATTTCTTCTTGACAGAGATTTTTAGGCTATGTATTTTATTTTTCTTTCAGCACTTTAGCCGATATTATTGTCTTCTAGTCTCCATATTTCCTTAGGAGAAGTCAGCTGTCATATTTACTTAGGGAGGTGGGCCAGTGTAATGTGTTTTTTTGTCCCTCTTACTGGCTGCTTTTCTTTTTGTTTGTTTGTTTTCAGTTTTACCATGATATATTTAGTTTAGTAGTTTAGTTTAGTAGGGATTTCTTGGTAAATTTTTTAAACTTATTTTTCCTATGAGGGTCAATGAATTTCCTGGATTACGGGGTTGTTTTGTATCAAATGTGGATAATTTTTGGCCATTACTTAGTCAAATCACTATCTATACTATTGTTTACCTTTTCTTGCTGAAAGTCTATTAACATGTATGTTTGACTGCTATTCTTCCCCTGTTGTATTTATTGTCTTCACTTCAGGTTTACTTATCTATTCTCTGTTATGTTAAACTGCTGTTAATCACAGCAATAGTTTTAAGTTGCATTTACTGGATAAAATTTAAAGACAGCAAAACTCATTTTTTAAAGTGTACAGCTGTATAAGGCGTAATAAATGCAAACACCAATCATGTAATTACCACAATAGACATAGAAGACTTCCATTACTCTCCAACATTAATTCCTGCCACTTTGTATCAACCAACTTTCCCAAGCACCTTCCCCACTTATCTGTTTTCATCCCTATAATGTTGCTTTTCCAGAATGTCCTAATGGGATCGCAACCTCTGAGTATTGCTTATTTCACTTATCACAGTGCATATGAGGTTTGTTCCTGTTGTTGTGTGGGTCAGAAGCCCATTCCTTTTTATTGTGAAGTATTATTCTGTTGTATAAATGTACCATGGTTGTTCAGCCATTCACCAACTGAAGGATATGTGGATGTTTCCAATGTGGGGTGATTATGATTAAGGCTGCTATGAATATTCTCATACTGGTTTCTATGTGAAAATCTTTTCATTTACTTGGTGGCTGAGTTGTATGATAAATATATTTTAACACTATAAGAAAATGCCAAACCATGTTCCAAAATGGATATACCACTTTGCATTCTTTTTTTAAATTTTACTTTTAGTTTCACGTATATAGTATATTTATATAGTTTATAAAATGATCTCCCTAATTGCTCTTTCTCTCCTCTGGCTCTCCACCTAGCCATTACATTAACGCTAATTGCATTCCCTATGTGTGCTT